AGACACAACCCTAATAATTAACTATAGGTACATAATAAATGTTCATTACTTACTGGATCCCCCACTAGAGACATCTTCTCGGCAGCCCTAATATTTTTTTCTAATATGTTTAACAATCGTACTAATCTGTCCGAAGGAATGGCTTCCATAGCACCCAAATTTTTTAATTTCGCCGCTTCGGAACACAACTCTTGTAGTTGATATCGAGGTAAAAGCATATCTTGTGGAATATCTGTGCCCTCTAGAATAAAAAATATATATTAAAAAAATATGTACCTAAACAGCAGAGAAAAATTAAATTTAAAAAATATAATATATAATTCATTTAAGAAATATATTATTTTTGGTTTCCTTAACTCAAAGAAATGTATATATTTTTTTACGTTCTTACTTAAATCATTTAAAATAATATTTATTATTCAACAAAAAAAAAAACCAAATCTGCAGTATTCGTACTCACCCATTTCGTCCGTTATAATGACGTCATCATCAATCGTCTCGAAGACTGATTCTATTAACTTGTTAAACCGTTGATATGTATTCGTCTCCATAAGTTCATCAACAGATAACATTTCCAGAACTGGCACTAATCTTCTTTCCACTTTTCGTAGTTTGGGTCTCACTAAAGTATAAATACGGAATGGATAGTATATATTAATAATTGGCAAACACTATGATAGCATATAACATTTAAATTTCATTTGTATTAATTTAAATTATCTCACCGATAGCAGCCTCTGCTTCTTCTCTTCTACTGGCTTCTTCGTGTTTCCTCTTAACTGCTTCCCAGTTCTTTTCTCTCGCCATATCTATAGCTTCTCTTTCTTTATCTACAGTGGGAGTGGAGCTACTCGACTTAGCCTTTAAAGGCAAATTGTCGTCAGAATCCGAATCCACTGTACTATTTTTCCTCGACCTTTCTTCGTGAGATACCTCGTGTTTCTTTAGCATTCCCTCCTATTATAGAAAATTTATTACAATAGTTGTTTAAGGATTTTTGCCAATAAATAAATTTACATGAAATATCATTACTCACAGAGAGTCGACCCAATTTAACAACAGGGTATCTAGCGTTCATAACTTGTGTGCTTCTGCTGGGGTCTTGTTTCTCTTGTGTGCTTTGTGTAGCTGGAGGGGCATAAGGGGCGCCCATACTCGGCTGAGGCACTTGAGGTTCCTGTCGCAGAGGTGAAGGCGCCACGCTGGCTTGAGCTGGAGACTGTCCTGGAACTATATAAACATACATACAAATTAAAAGATTATATTTTTTCTTACCATATCTACTTTTATAGCAATATTGACCTTGTTCGTAATTCTTATCCTGGACTTGTAAATGCTGCTTCTGTTGTTCAGTCATATTTCTCGGAGACATAGAAAGCGGATCCTTATCGTCACCGATGTTAGTGAGAAAATTTCTATTTTCTTGCACTAGACTATTATAAAATCCACCGTTTTGAGGATTGGAACACGACGAATTCGATAGAGGGCTTGTGTATATATTAGATGGGTTTGAAGTACTCCAAGGAGGTGAAACATTGTTTTGGGCGGTAATATTAACTTGACTTCCTGGTCGAGCTTGAGAGGGTGGGGAACCCATGTTTACGTGAGGAGATGACTGGCATGGTGTCGCCAACACTTGCTGGTTAGGCATAGACCCTGAATGTACAGCAGTACCATGTGATGAAGGACTGGAGTGAACTGTGTTATGTGATGCATAATTGTATGTGGAAGAGGGTGACATCCCATTCAACTTGGATGCATGTAAATGGTTACCCCAGTGATTTCTTTGTTGCTGATCAAAGACATTGGGGTTGACATGTAATATTGCTTTCAAAAGTTCCGGAGTAGCTTGTTGAGGAGCAGGACTGACTGCATTTGGTATACTCTCATCCTTCAAGTCACTGAAAATAAATTTTTCACATTTGATATATTAAAAATTTATTAACTTTTGGTATCCTAAATTGTTATATATTATTTATGTTGTAACACATGACTGACACATGACAATTTTAACTTACATATGCTGAACAGATGTCTGCATAAGTGACTGTAACAGTAAGGAGACAAGATTGTCATCACGAGTTGCAAGCAGTATAGCTGCTTCTTCTGCAACACGAGGGTGAAACAACTGAGACTTGTTGTTCAGTGTTGACGGCAAAGGTGTTGGTAATGGAAGCACTGGTAACACTGAAAGAATTTTGTTTCCTAATAATATTTTCATACTTTTTAAATCACTTTTAGATGAGATTTCATTTTAATGGAAAATTTTATGTTATTAATTGAAACTGATTAAGAAAATATTATGTTGTATATATACTATCATAAACAACAACAACTTGTCAAAAATAAATTTATTTGAAGATAAAGAAAAACAATACTCTATTTAAATAAAAGGAATTATTAATTATTATATTATGCTATTAAAAAGTTTATGGGAAATAATTGATTACAAAAAATATGAGCAATAATTTTTAAGGAAAGCTTCTTAAAATTACATACCTTATTAATACAAAAATAATTTACGGTAATAATTATATGTACAACTATCATTTGCGCTTTTTAATTTTTAAATAATGACTTTTAAGAAAACTTTGGAAAACATGTTAACTTAAATTACAAGAAATTTTATTTTAATGACAAACTCAAAGGGAATTAACTCATAATATACATATATATTTTTTTGAAAAGGACCTCATACCATTCAATGGAGATTTATTCCATGAATAGTATAAAAAACAATTTTATTTACTAAATTATATGAAATAAAAATACCATTTATATATTATAGTCACAGTATTATAGGAACAGTATATATATCGAATCTTAATACTTACAGTCAGTTAAACTAGCTACTCCTGCTAATGTTGTAATAGGTACACTTGGAATATCCCTCTCATTCATCTTGATATCAGAGTCAATTTTATTTTTCCAGGTTTGGGAAAGCTGTCCTAAAAGTCAAAAAGAAAGTCTTTGCTTTGGCAATATAAAATACACCAATAGTAGTTTGCGTAGTCGACGATTCCATTATCATTATAATTCCACATATGCGGCACTTTGCACGATCAAATTTCACATTTATTAGTTGAGTATTTGTCACAGTAAAGGCATTTCACGAAAACAGTTAATTAATAAACGCAAAGATTGTTGTGAAAATAGGGCAGCCGTCAATTTGATGCTTTGTTGTGCGTTGTGCATCAAAACGAAGGTCAGCGCATCTGTACGACACTCCCAATAAATTAAAGAAAAAGTAGTTTTGTCGATAGTAGTAAATATTTGCTTGTAAAATATTCTCTAATACTCACTGAAACATTCTGTTAACTATTTATATCCAGGACAAATCAAACATAATCTTAACATTTAGATAATCAAGGAATTGTAACTTAGTGTTACCCGTTGAAATTTACTTTTACAATTTATTCGCCACCATAAACAATAATATACAAAGATAAATTATAAGTGTTATAATTTTGTATTTAAAAGTACAATTTATATTTTGTCATACACTTTATTAAAAGATATTTAAACTTTAATAAAATTAATAAATCAAGTAAAAACGTTATCAGCCGCATAGGCATAACAAAAAAAAACTTCATTTAAAGATTTTGTGACAATTTAACAAAATAACTGAAGTATTACCACTTATTATTATTTAAAAAAATAATGAATATTCAATCCAATCCTAAACCTGTTTTAATTAATGTTAATTTTTTGAATTTATTCCTTTAAAAATCTTCTTTGAAAAACTTTTGGTGTAATTTTTTTTTTAATAAATCTTGGTACTAATGAATAATATGTCTAGCTATAATAATAACCATATTTATTATTTTTACAAATCTGATTAAAGTACTAATGTCATTAAATCACAATTATTATGATATTATACTTATTAGAATTAAAGTTAACACTAAAAATAATCCTTAATGACAATTATCTATAAACAGATACTTTTAAAATAGTTTGTTAAGTGTATACTCATAAATACATATTTTATTACCCATTGAGTGAAATAACACAAAATGGCAATGTCAAAAATGTAGTTTTAAAAGATACAATATTTGGTACCTACCTCTAAACGTTAGCCTGTCCGAAGTTTTTTAAATATGGATTTAAAAAACGATTTCTTTAACTTTCCCTGCTTTTAATACTTTTTAGTCATTCAAAAGTTTTTCAATTTTTCGGGCTCAAGGTAATTTTTTTCTGTGCAGGACATTTTTAAATTTTTCCTTTACCAACTATATAATTAATTCACAAGACATTCGCAACATACATATTTATTTTTTGCATAAATATTTATTCATGAGACTGTGCGACAAAAATATTTTTTTTTTATACATAAGTATCATTTTATCTTTATTTTTGCATTTTATTGCTCATAGTATTTTTTATTTTCAATTTGTTTAATTCTGTTGAAAGATAATATAAAATATAAATAAAAAAAAGGTAATTAGAAATCAAAAGTTTTCCACAATGGCCAGGTGAAATTTTAATAGGGGTGAACGACCGGTAAATATACTAATGTCAATGTCAAAAACCTGTGTTTCCTGATTGGAAATTAATGGTCCCGTTAAATCGTAAATAATACCTCCCTATTTTATTATCTATTTCGATAGTGCAATATTTTTGAAGTTGATTATAAATGGACTTTGTTAATTGTTGAGTAACCTTGAGAGGATAGCAATTAATATTTGCTTTATTTAAAACCGGTGATAATGTTAATTTATATGTCTTTAACTTATAAGTTGCAATTTTAAATTAAAACTAATTAATTCAAAATAAAGGACTTTTATGGAAAAGTTTTAATTTCAGTAAATTATTATTGAGTATATTTCAAACCTTAGTCACAACTACATCGATATATATATTGTAACTCGTAAGACGTGCATATTCTATCTAATTTGCGATCGACTATAAACATAGCAAGTGCCTAAGTATATATTTACATAACTAAGTATAAAACGACCTCCAGTGTATATCTAGAATAAAAGGAGTGATTTATAAACATGTCTGTCATTAATGTGAACTCACTCAAGTGGTATGTTAAATACATTGGCTTGCCCCTCATTTTTAGTATGAGTATGTACCGTTTGTGTGGACGGCTACGAAATGCAAAACGTAGAAATGAATTGCAGGGAAAGGTAAGAGAAATAGAGATAGTTTGAATAATAAGGAAAAAATATTTTTTAAACCTAACAAATTATCTATTAAAAGGTTGTTGTGATAACTGGTGCGAGTTCAGGAATTGGTGAAGCTTTAGCTCATGTATTCTATGATTATGGGTGTAAAGTTGTCCTTGCTGCTAGGAGGAAAACAGAATTGGAACGAGTAAAAAGTGATCTGTTGTCAAAGAAAATTGTAAGTATTTTTATTGTTTATAAGTAAGTGAATGCTTTTATTGTAACAATGCATTTGTTTTTTATATTATAATTGATCTCAATATGTAATTTCTTATTGCCCTTTTGAACTTCAGTCTGGTATTGAGAAAAAAATATGGTACTTGTATTAAGAAATATGTAATGTTCTTACATTTATTTCAATTATATACATTTTTTTATTACATCTTTAAGCATACATATATGAAGTTTTAAAATTGTTAAGAGTGTAAATAAGATCAAAAAACAATGTTATCAGTTTGAGGTCATAAGTCAGTTCAAGTCACACATAAAATTTAAATTATTATATAAGAGTAAAGTATTTTATGTAAGAGTTTGAGGTCAACAATGTTATTTGCACATTATTATATAAATTACCTATTAAACATTCATATCATTAAATTGTTTATATGTTTAAATGTCAAGCTATCCTTGTAAATTTTGAAAGTCAACCAGCCATTTTTTGATCTAGATATATGTTATTTTGAGGTGTTTATTTTATTTTATTTTATTTGTAGATCATGTTATTAAGAACTACATGAAAAAAACAGAGACTTAAATTGAAATTTTCAATATTTTAAGCTAACTATTTATTATTTAAATATGTCGAACAATTGTTATTTGTTAAAAAATATATTACCATTGCAGAAAACTGCTGTTTCTACGTAATTACATATTTTGTATATAATTATTATATTTTAAGTCAAAATAAATGAGAATTTATATTTAAATGTGTTATAATGAGATCAGACTTGTATTAGCTATGTTTTAAATGATACAAAGAAGAATCTTAAATAAATTGATTTAAAATAGAATTAACAATGAATTAAGTATATGATAATAAACAAATTATATTTTACAGTCTCTCCCAACAGAAGAGCCCTTAGTACTTGAGCTAGATCTATCAGATCTTGATCAATTGGACTCTTTTGTCAATAAAGTTCATGAATCCTGCGGTAAAATTGACATTCTGATTAATAATGGAGGGGTATCTCATCGTGGATCAATTCTCTATACAAATCTGGAAGTGGATAAGAAGATAATGTTTACCAATTATTTTGGTTCTGTAGGACTTACAAAAGGTAAATATAAAAAATTATCATATTTGTATTCTAAAATTATGAGTACTACTGCTATACTATTATCTTAAAGTACACCTAATTCCCTTATGTACTGCCCAGTAACTATATTAAATGACTATATAGGTTTAACAGTTTGAAAAAAGCCGTTGTTTTAAGTTTATTAAGCAATTTACATTCTAGGTATCACTTGTCAGTGGTTGAGAAATATAGGTCCAGGCCTACGACAAGGTCTTTGCGGCAATTGGCAGTTATTAGTTACATGATTCTTTATAAGATTTTCACGAGTATTTTCCATATAAAATCGAATAAAATAAAAGGTCTGTAAATCATAATACAAGAAATAATTATCACTTTCCCGAAAACACGTTAAAAATAATCATATTCAATATTGACTTATTTCATACAAAATGGCACCTGACGCTGGTAAAAAACCTAACATAAGATATCAGGGATTGGTCACCCTTAGAAAATACTTGAGGTATACAATACAAGTTAACCTTTTATTCCAACTGGAAAATAACTTGAATCTGTCCATCGTGGTGACAAATTTTCTAATCAAGTTCCCGTTCTCTTTCTCATATCAAGGTACCAGAGATCTCTCTCGCTTACTCAACGCAAAATAATACGCAAACGCAAATTAAAAGTAAAACCATGCCATTATCTGCATGATTCTGCCGATTAATTTAAAGACCGTTGGCAATTAGCTTTATAAAGTACAGATGCAAAATCGACGTCGAGTTAGGTTTAAATCTAAGTATTTCCATATACCTAAGATTTTTTATTTTAAGTTTTTGGGAAATACCAAGCTAAGGTTTACTTTTAAGATCCCAAATAAAACGACATTACTTTCATAATTTTATTCCTAAATAAAATGTAGGGCTTATTCAATTAAAATTCTTTCGTTCGAGTTTCTTATATTACACGGATATATGTGTGCAAATACACATTTACAATTCTTAACTACGTAAACAATATATGTATATTATTAAGTATTTACCGTTTAGCTATTAAGTTGTTTACTGACTAAATGGCTTGAATCATATAGGCAACTCAACAACAACATATTTTTAAATAAAATGGTGTAGTATAATTCCGGAATATAAATTAAAAAAAAATATCTGTAATCAAGGAAACGGTCTACGTGTTTGTATCTTAAGTAAATGTGTAGTAAGTGTAAGAAACTCGGACGTATGAATTCTTTTTAATGAGACCTAAGACTTTCATTTATGTATATTAAACCATTATTTTCGGATTACTAAACGTTTTTATTATTTTAAACTGCATATTCCCGAAGTTTCGGTTACTTTGCAGTAACCTTTATCATGAGCAGACGAGATGAGAATGTCGTGTTAGTTGGTCTTGTTATTTGTCATGTACCGCAAACAATTTCTGATTTTTCTTTATCAAGTTCATGTAAAACGAATAATTTTGCTATCAATAATTATTTTAATTATAATATTTTTTGTCTATCAATCGATTCCAATAAATGGAGCAACGGATTTTGTTAATTTATGTTGTTTATGCTTACTCAGTTATAATATAAATAGTTTATATAAAAAGAAAACATATTAGGTAAATATGGTATGTTTGTATGGAAGTTGAAACAGTTCAAATTGTTTTCTTTTATATTTACCAGCATAGTAACTTATACACATGTACATTGATTACACATAACAGACCGGTTTGCAACAAAAAATGTGTGAAGCAGCTATTATTATTATACATAATTACATATTTTTTCCTTGTTCTAGCTGCGTTACCGAAGATGGTAGAAAGAAAAAGTGGCCATATTATATTCATAAGCTCTGTACAAGGGTTGATAGCAATACCAGATCGCTCTGCGTATGCTGCTTCAAAGCATGCTATGCAGGCATTCGGAGACTCACTCCGGGCTGAAATGCATCAACATAATATAAAAGTCTCCGTAGTCAGTCCCGGCTATGTGAAGACCGCTGTATCTATGAACGCTTTGACTGGAAGTGGTGATAAACATGCAGGCTTGTATTTCTATAAAGTTCTACTAGTGTTTATATGAATATTATATATTGTTTAAATTTCGTAGTTACTATGTAAATTTTCTTAAAGTTAAGTCAGCATAACTTCAAATAATTAAATTTTAAACGTAATTATGGTAACAAGTCACCAAAATAATGGAATATTATACCATGCAATTCAAATAGTTATCGTATTATTTCTCCTTTACAGTAATGGACAAGAGTACTGCTTCTGGCTTTGAAGCTGATTATGTTGCAGAAAAAATTTTGGATATGGTCATCAATGAGGATAAGGACCTTATTATAAGTCAATTTGTGCCAAATTTGGCGATCTTTTTAAGACGTTTTGCTCCTTCTGTGTACCATTGGGTAATGACTAAAAGGGCTGTAAAGACGGCCTAAAGCCAGTAAATGTGTTATTAAAATATGCACATACTAAATATGTATATATAATATCAATTTGCAATATGGTAAATGTAACTATTATAAAACACTTAAAAGGGTTGATTGTGGCTCAAATTGATTTTTCTTATCAAGTTTAATGTTAGTTTTTAATATTAAATATTGTTATAATTTGTAGAATTAAATGCAAAAGCAATTGTTTAAATTTCTGCAAACTATTGTGCCTTATTTTTTTGTTATTAACATTCAAAGTGCATTTTTATTATTAAAATTCCATTACATTTTAATAAAAATATATAGTTTTAACACAAAATCAAGCATTAAATTGTTATGAAATAAAAATCTATAATTATGTAATACCTTTTATTTCATGGTAGCAGTGACAATTTCATTGTGTTTCTCACTGTTATCATGACTATATAAAATAATCAACAACTACTATCATTTCTAGAAAAGCATCCTTATATTTAAAAGAAACTATATTTGTACAGAAATTGTATGTCTAATCTAATAACAGTTAAAATTAATTATAATAAATTTACAGTTTTCTACAAGAAACAATTTTTTATACAGGATACAGAGCACTATAAGCATAAAATATATTATTATTTTTTATAACATTCTCATATTTTTCTACTGTGAGCATATTGACATTTAATATATATTCACTAGAGCATCACTTGAATGTGTTGTAAATTCTCCATAAGCAAATTGCAGCTGCCGTTAATGATACTGTGCTATGTAGAAGTATTTTTTTCCTATTATCAGTATGTACAAGAACAACGGGTGAGGCTGATGTTAGATCACTTAAAACTGGTAGTTTGGATAGGCGACGAAGATCTTTCTCCTCTTGATATTTGCAACAAGGATCCCATTGCCACGACAATGTATAACAACCAGCGCACAAAACTGACACTACACCAAAGGGGGTGCAAGCCAAAGAACTCCATGTAACACCTGCAAAGATTGAGTATAAATATATTTAATTTTGTATATTTAAAAATAATCGCAGTTATTCTTTATTAATTACTTATTTGAATACTTGCCTGAAGCGATGCTACATAAGCCACTATATACAGATATTTTATGTAAGAGGTTGCCTACATATATCCATCTCGCGGTTTCTTCTCCAAGAGGCTCAGGTTCTATTACGATGATGCTCACTCCAGCCTCAAGGGCTCTTTCCAATTCCATTTCAAATTTAATATGTGCATTTTCACTATCATAAACTTCTCTCACTATAACTACTTGGGAGGGTTTGAGATCGCTGAAATAAACATAACTTATGTAAATATACTTTATAAAAAAAGATATCCTGATTTTATGAGAAATAAAAAGGGTATTTTCCAAACTAGTTACAAATTTTCTCTAAATATTCTCAATTAAACTTTGGTAGTATCTTTATTTACAAACCTGTCACTCTCATCACCCGCCATCTTAAACTATAGACAAATTCAAGGAAGAGGACAGTGATTAGTGATTAAGAGATTACATACTCTGTATCAATCTTATTTGGTAAATCTTCCAAATGAATTAATAGAAACAAACAATATTTTGACATATTTTTATCAAAACAAATTTAGTAACATTAATAATTTTTGTCTATTTAGAATTTTTATTAATGGTAGGGGTTGTAGATATACTTAAAAATGCATACAATAATCAATATATTTTTAGACCAACATCTTACACTCCTTTTCCCCTGTTGACATCTATTTTAAATTATGAAATTAAATTGAAGTATTAATAATAAAATAAATAAACGTCGTTTATTGAACAACATTTTTTGAACAATTTAAAATGTTTTTTTTATTTATTTTTATACTTTCTGCGGTCAAAAACGTCAGTAGATTTTTTATGAAACCAAAACAAGATATATACCTACTGACTTAATTTGGCTAAATATGAACTTGTAATCTTTAAACATTTTTCAGGCAGTTCATAACAAAAAGATTTTCATTGTTATTTAATGTTTTGTCTTGAAGCCGACGCCGATGAGACATATCTGAGGAAAATATTTGTTTTTATGGTTCCCAGAAACGTTTTCAAAGGGAAATTATTAAAATTAAGCGAAATTTGTGCAAAAATAATCTCAGTAAAGTTATATTTAGATAATATAAAAAACTATTCAAGTGACGATACATAATTTTATTAAATTAGTAGGTACTGCACTTAAAAGATGTTCTGTATTTATATGCTAGACTTTCCGAGTCTATGTATAGTAAATAATGCTACTATTTATTAAATGTAATACCAATAATGAATGCGCAAGTTTGTGACGATTTATAGTCATTTCTAGCTTTATAAACAAAAACTACTGGACGGATTTGATGATACCTTTCAATCATGAATTTTGAATATCAGAATAATACATGAACTATAAATAACTTATGACGAAGTACAGAATGGTGTCCGTGCGATCAGAGCAGAACAGTTGTCTTTTGTTTGAACTTTGAAGTAAGGTGAAAGAATATAGGTGGCATTGCCTTTTAAAAACCATATTTTTTAAATGCCATCCATTCATTTATTTTTAAATCCAATTCCATTAGGTATCCAGGTACACTACCGCGGGGAAAAATAGTATATTATAATTTAAGTGTTATAATCCTAGTAATAATATTAAAGCAAAGTTTTATTTGTAAGACATGCAATTTTTTAATGCAAGGAAATTTCTGAAATAAGGATGAAAAATGTGTATTCTTCTCGCGAACACGATTTATTTACATTATTGTAAACTTCTCGTAACATAATATATTTCTATAAACCCCAAATAACTACCAAGACATGTTTAAAACATTATTCATGAGTAAAAATTTAAATTTTTTCATTGTATTCAAAAGATTTTGTTTATAGACTTAACATTCTTTGTTTAAATGAAACAGAAACTAAAATGATTTTTCAAAATCTGTAATCTTTAAAATCAGATAGGTACCACACAGCCACTTTAGGTAGCTCTTACTAAATCTTACTTTTACAGATTCTTTAGCTACTGTTGGATATTACACAAAGAAAATGTAGGTAATTGTAGAGATGGGACGATGCCAATTAACAGATTTCAATATTCTCACGCAAACCAATAACGAACAAGCTGATCTTCGGATCTGAGTTGCATGTGAAGTCTTATTTGACTATAAGTACATAGTATTGTTATAGAAATAAAAGTTTTTTTAAAAACCGAATTTCATGAAATGTTCTTATACATATTGAAATTCCTGAAACACTGTTAGTTGATGAATTATGACACACTCGTTTATAAATGTTGATACTTTAACGTTGTAACGACAGTGATTTCAAAGAGGTCATATATATAAAAAAAATATTAAAATATTATTGAGAATATTTTATTTTTTGCTGTAGGCGCCAGCTACAGATATGTTTCACAAAATTCATAAGACACATCATTTCTTGAAAAATCTTCTTGTGTAAGCAATTTTAGCATTTACATCAGTTCGCCCACTTATGCCATTCTAAAATCCGTATGCCGGATTAAGTAAAGGTGAATGTTTAAAAGAATTAGAAACATGAAAAATGGTCTTATATGAAAAACATTTGTATATATATTTTTCTTAACATTTGTGTTATAAGGTTTAAATTCCTTTATAAGCTTTTTGTCACTTAAGTTATTAGTTATAATAACCGTAAGTGTTTAGTGTGATACTTATAAGGTTCGTGTGGGTGCAAGGCTGACCTTATAGGCGCCCACAAGCTTTGCTAACATTAATATGATTTCCCGACAACCCACTCATTACCGACAAAGACATTATAGCCTTAAAAGTATAAAATATTCTAACAGTTAATGAGCGGCTATATTTAATACTCTAATACGTGTAAAAAACATCTCATACATATTTTTAAATAAATAAATTGCGAACAGAGTATGTAATAATGAATATTAAATTAGAACAGTTATAATGCTCCCATTGTGACACTTGTAGTTTGTTGGTTCAGATGGTTATAAGAATAACACAGATAATAAAGATTCCTAAGTTCTATTCGAAAGGCTTTCGAAAGCGTAAATAAGTTTACTGTACATAAAAGTATTCACAATATATGTATGAAAATTATAAAAGCTCATCGATTTTTTGAATAGAATTTGAATTTGAATAGAATTTACTCACTGAAATATCATTTCTAATTCAACATATACCTATTTGAAAGTAAAACATAGGTTTTCATGAATTGTATTATACAATAATAAACATAATTATATTAAGCCTTGATAAGGATTTTTGTTTGATAAATATACAAATTTTATATTATAAAATAAAATTTAAAAAGCTATAATGTATGTATAGGTGAAATAAAAGAAAGACACCTTATCTAAAAAAGAAACGTATAACTGCAAAAAATTATGGAAATAATAATCAAAATCTTTTTTTAAGATATATGAATATAATATGCTATTTAATATAAGTAGGTAACATTACCTGAAACATTGTACTTAATTAAAATCGAATTATAACTTTTGTAATATTAGGATGAAAACACAGGCTATAAATTAGAAGCCATAAATAATGAATGCATAAAGTTAATTCGCCGAACCTTTTGAGAAGTGATGTGTACTCGTGTACCATTCCAATAGATGGTAGGAAAGCGCGGATATTGAACTCGGGCTTCGGGATGCATCGGGCGGGCAGGCATGTCCGCGAGCCCCTCCCGCCACGTCGTGCGCACGACCACGACGCCCCGGCCCCTCGGCCCCGGGGCCCTGCTAGCCTTGTATCAACAAAATAACAATGCTTGTTTATGATCTAAAGCAAAATAGAACAATAATCCGTAAATAAACGACAGAGACGGCTATAGATTAGATATATTTAAAAAGGTTTTGCTTGCTTAGTGCGTTCAGAAATTTTGTTCGTGTATTTTTTAATGATTTTATGATAGAGATACCATGAAGTTGCTTCAAAGTCAATAATCATTATAAAGTATTTTTAGATTGAATCAGTTCATTTGAATTACTTGTTTTCTACATTCTTAAGGGTGAATTAAGAGAGAAATTGCTTTTAAAATTATGTAGATAAGTAATCTATTTAATGAGACCATGCACATAAGCATGTCGCGTATTACGGATCACTGCAATTTATACGTATGTGACGACTGAAGTAAGTGACGGCACATTGAGGGCAATGCCATGTCAAAGACCGACATTGTAATACTATGGAACATCTATGGTTTTTGAATTATATTTACTTGATTTTTTTATCTACAAGATTTAACTGTAGGATTTATAGAATAAATAACCATAGAAATTCCTATAACATATCGTCTATTAATTAAATCGTCCATAATTTCTTTAAGTTTGTGCCTTAGTTGTAGACAAATAAATTCCTTTAAACTTTATGTCAGTCCAATAAATGTTTCACGTGATATCGTATCGTTGTAAATTCCTATCCGCCATTAGACATGTTGTCTATTAAGATAATTACATGCAACACGTTACATGAGATCCATCCCCACGGAATAATAATAACTGACTCATTAGATGCTGTCAGCTTCTGTTTTACCATATTAAGGAATACTGTGGAATATCACTCATGTCAACAGATCAACTTTTTATTCAGCAATTATATAGCGATTGAGGAAATCGATTCAGTTGTTGGACGATATAGTGTGTAATAATTTTTGGGTGCTCATCTTGAGTAAGCATACCATTAAAATATATAAATCGTTTGAAATACGACATCCGTCTTAATTTTTTTTTTATATTGTATTCCACTTGGAGGTCATAACCGTTAGGCACTGGCTGAAACGGAAGCAGCCACATCCTGGACCGATGGACAGCCGTTTGCATATAATCAATGCTTTAATAGGACCCTCGCGGCATGTTAAATTCATCGCATGTAATTATATAGAAAACGAACCTTCACATTACAGAACAGCCTATTTAATATGCCAGCCGTTAGCTTATTTTGAGATTGCACATCTCAGCTCTAACGAGATGATGGAATTTGAACACATTTTTTTCTTTTAAAATGACTTACGGAAATTATGGCAATTATATACTTATTTAATCTTTCGAGCAGTAGTTTATGATATTTTTTAAAATTAGAAGTTATTTATACCTGACTACATAGTTGTATATGTTTCAAGGTGAACAGAAAATTTCCGATGAGTCGTGTTCACTTACGATTACCAGTTTTGAACGCATGTCAGGTGCTATTGTCGTTGAGTTATTCCCCCCCCCCCGCTATTATCCCTCCTTCCCTCCGCTCCGGTCACTGAGCACTCTGACCTCCTCGTACCCGACATGCATTACGTAATTCAAACATCCATTAGTCAAAAAAACGGATGATCTTATAACGCAATTAGCACCGTAATAGGTAGAGCCTTTTTGTTAAACTGATTCACTTCTGGTTGATTGTTATAATTTTGTATTCTTATAAGGAAATAAGTTTTATATTGTATTTTAGATCCTATTATATTTTATGTTATAATGTTATTTCAATCTTATTATCTATACATATGAAAGAAAGTCGTGTTATTTACACTATTTATAACTTAAAAAGGGCTGTTGGGATATGTTTGAAAATTGCCTGGAAGATAGCTTAGAACCAGGATACGGACATAAGATATTTAATTCAGTTCGATGGAAAAAGAACAAAAAACTTAATAAATTTCGATATCTAGTTATTTATAGTCTCTAAGGAGGAATAGAATTCGCCCGTTCATCTATACATATATATGTATGTATTACTAATTCCTAAATTAACGCGGACGAAGTCGCGGGCTAAATGTAGTACTATATATTTTTTATAAATCGAAGGTTTTTTTAGTATGGAAATAAGTGGATGTTAGTAACTTTTCAACCCAAAATTTACTGAAAGGATTTCGATTTACATTTACAATACTATAGTTTTTACACCATAATAAGTAATTATCGGAGTTCACTTCCGTCTGTTTAATAGTATTTACATTACTTGAATTTTAAGAAGTCACATGTTACAAATGATTATTAAATTTATCGCCGGCTGTCGGTAGCCATATTTGTTTTATATGTACATTACCAATTTCTTTCTGGAGCCTATTCCGAAATTCAGTCTAAGGAAACTGAAGTCAAAAATTAATAAAGATTTTTTTTTAATCTACAACAATTCATAAGGAAATGAACAAATTTGTACGCAAGACCTTCATTTTGTAATTAACGAAATAAAAGGAAACACTTCTTTTATGTAATACAAGTGTTCATAGATGAATAATCTTTTTTATCTTTCAAATACTTGAAAACAATATCATACAGGCAGTTTATTAATTTGTGATCAAAACATGGAAGCAACAAACCATAAATAATAAATTCCATGAGTCGACGATCCAGCCCGCTACAAAGACATCAATGGGAACATGAAATTGTTTATTGAATCCATTAATACTTTCTCACCGCCCCGTAGAGATATAATTTTAATAACGCTTTATAATACTGGAGGGCTTTTATCAGTAATGAGTGGTTACATATATTGTGATATATTATTCCATTCACACAGAGTTCGCATTAATTCAATTGACATAAAACTGTTATTATGATTCAGTTTTAATATTGAAATAAATTATTGCTATTTATTACATAATTCCTTTTCGATATCTTTTGTTTTTTATACGTCTATTATTCGTAGTTAGTGAATCATATGTATTACCTTGTGATTGAATCAAGTTGACTATTATCTTAGGATCGGTGAATAGAAAAACTTTTTGTTGGTACTCCCATTCAATTATACTTTGTAGAAAATAAGTTGTTGCTTATAGTTGTTTTTCTATTAGTTTCTATGAAACTCTCATCTAAACGTCATTACGTAATGGATTCTTGTGGCAATGTGGCATCTGCATTAGAACCATCTGTCACTATCTCTGTGCATGCAATCGTAGTAGGAAAGGATAAATTAGATATAAGAAAATTGTATCAAAGGCAATATATTCGCATGGATTATACAATTTATTTAAAGACTGTGAATATATTTCACATTAATTTAATACATTTTATAAAATGGCTTAACAGAAATATTTTACCTATAAGTGAAACAGTGGTGTCCTGTAAGAATATAAAAAAGCGAGGGTATGTTTGTTGCTGTACTAGAGTAAAAAAACTTTTTTGTACGATTTAGTTTGCTTTTGATCTAGTGAAAGAAGATTTTTCACAAATGAGCTATTTCCCTTTTTTCTTAAAAAAGTTTAGCTCAAGAAAAGATAAAATCCATGAAAAAAGCAAACCAAGTCCTGCTCTAGAAAAAAGGAAATGTTATGTAATCGTATTATTTATGTGCTATGTATATACATGTCAGTATAATTATACATATTGAGTAACTAAAATGTATTAAAACCAAAACAAATCCTTTTGTTTCGCATCCCGCTTCCATTTTTGTGATAATGGTGCAGGATCGCTCGAAGTGTTCTTTTTTTGTTCTTTATAAATCTAGAGACCGTATCTCCTGGTCGTACAAAAACATTAAAACCTACTTGGTTATTCGTGTTTTCAAACCGAACAAACCATTAAGATGTGCGCTGATGAAAAACTTTAATTGTAAAGTTTACGCGCTATAAATTTAACTTAGTTTTTTTGACGCATTACTAGCTTAAAAAAATAACCTGTCAATAATAATTTTAGAATGCATAAATAAATATATGCTCTAGCTATGTTCAATGAAATGAAAAAGAAACTATTTTAAATGTTAGTATAGTTATATGCAATAATATGGTAAAAATCGTTGTTGCATAATAAATGTATGGTCGCAGCAGACATTAAGTTGACACGGTCGAATCATATTTCGGCATATCGCGGCATCTGCTCAAATAAGAGACCATTGAACTCCTTTAATTCCATATTTGTTGGAAACTGGTCTCAAAATTTTTATATTTCTGGAAAATTGAGATAGAATGTGCCGTTTCCTTTTTGTAATGTTCAAATTATATAACATAACAAAATATTGTGCAATTTTGATGGACAACTAGGTATGCCATTAATCGAAAAATGTGGCCTTCTTTTTGGTTTTTATGATATCACATAATGTTCACACAAGTATTTCATTTCCAAAAACGAATATCCTGCTGAATCATCTACAAATTTACTGTAATTTACGTAATAAGCCGAAAAATTAACCCTTAATTCCCATAAAATGTTTCTCATTTCACTTCAAAAGTCCGCTATATCGAATATTGCATAATTATATTTCAAAGTCACATTCTCCTGATAACTTTACGATTGTAATAAAATGAATAAGATTTTATAAATGTAAACATTCTTAAGCGTGAAGTTGAATCGTCGTACATATTGTGACTTTAGTATTCATTAAAAGTATTTACTGTTTTATGTCCAACTGTACATGCGTGTTGAATAAATGTAAATTACAATATGATATAAATCCTTTTGTTCTCCTAAGTAGGTAATGGGTAAACGACAGGCCAACAAAATAGCGGTCGAGGTCCTTCACCCACTCGCGTGGTGAACAACGTCGCCGAACTGTATATACAGTACTTGATGTTAATTGTGTTACACATAAGTGTAAAGTTTTCCATCCTAACACAGTTTTGATAAGTATACATTCGTTATTAGTTTATATGTGATACAAAGACAGGCAGACCCTGGCTGTAGCTGGGAAATTGCCAGGTAGAAGAAGACAAAGATATATATTACATTTTAAGTTAAGCAAACATCCTGTACATTCTATCAATGAATAGAAGTCTTACGCCACCATCTGTTTCGTTGCCAAACGTTCTGCGGCCGATCTTATGTTACCTTGATCACAGTT